AAAACCGGAAAAATAACATGTTTGAAGCAATGTTTTGTTGTATAAATTTTTTTGTCAAATTAAAAAGCATCTTCATGAAGATCGATGTAAATAATTAATTAAGTTAAAATAAATAAATTACTGAAGAATTACATAAGAACTCATTATCAATCAAAGATTGATCACCTGTAAGTCTATCACAAACTTTTTTTCAAGTCTATCACAAACTAAGTCTATCACAGTCTATCACAAACTTTTTTTCACCTGCTAATTAATTTGAGAAGAAAAAAAGCAAAAAATGAATGTAACGTCAAATTGAATGCGGTGAAATTCAGTTTTAGAAATAAATTCAAAGAAATTTAATTCCGTCTAATATTCGAATAAAAAATATATATATATATATATGGATGATGGAGACGGAAATAAATGCATGGACTTTTTGACTTCTATCATTTTGTTTAATCAGTCAAATGTTCCAAATAAATAATTAAACATCTGGTAAATTGAAATGTATGTCTAGAAGTACGGTGAATAGACAAATATCAAATTCAAACAAAATAGTATCACAGTGAACTTTGTTTCATATTCGTATTTTGAATAATTTAAAACAGCAAATAGTTCCATAAATAATTTTGCGCAAAAATTTCATTTGCGCATTAATTTCAAAAACATAATCTTTTCCTCCTTTTTTTCTTTTTGAAATTCTTGTATTTATCAATTTCTACACTTTAAATTTTTTTTTACTACTACCTGCTATGTAATCATATACATATATAATTATTTTCGGATAAATGTGTTTGATGAAATTATCGATATTGTTGATAACTTTTGTAAATTTTAATCAAATGTGTGTGATACGATTCAATGTGCTACAATTTGCACGATATATATGGTAAGTTTCATATTTATTCTTTTATTCAAAAAGTAAATTTCAATTCAGTAAGAGGATGAAAAATTGTCAACGAAATCTACAATTATTCCTTCATTTATTTCAGCAAAATAATTTTTCTATGATTGATTAATTCTGTATTACGCAAAATTTGCTC